AGGCGCGTCTCTCCCGGGCACCTCGGGCAGGACAACACTGTGTGTCTACAGGGCACGTCTTCCTGTGTGTCTCCTCATCAGAGGGGAACAGTTTCCTCTCTGGTCCCACGGGCCAGAACCCCCTCCCTGACGTACCCCTCCCTGCGCCCGTTTTTGGCAAAGGGAGTAGCACCCACAGTCGGCTTGGTCAATCCTGGACGTGTCACTTCACTGAGGCTAAAAAGACCACGGACAGCAGGTCTGCGGGTCACTGCCCATTGGCCTGGGCGGGGCCAGGCATCGATCCCCGTGTTCCTCTACTTCTTAGCAGGATGGAGACAGGCCCAGTGCTCTGCACAATGCACTTTTTGGGGTGGAAAGGTTTGCATGTCCTTGTAGCTGTGTCTAAATTTACTCCTAAACCTGGGACAGGCCTCAGAAGGAGAAGGATGTCTCTGGGCATCCCCTTTGGTTTTTGCATCAACGTTATCCCTTGTCCTCGGTGACTGGCCAGTGTTCTCCATCAGCAGGCCCTCCCCTCCCCACCCCCCTCTCAGCTGCAGAGGCAGCTCCTTCCACAGGGTGCCTGGCTCAGTGCATGCGGGCTCCTGTTTCTCTCTCTCTCTCTCTCTCTCTCTCTCTCTCTCTCTCTCTCTCTCAATTAAAACTCTCCTCCAAAATTATGAAAATACATGTGTTTATTGCAACCCCTGAAACAACACGAAGATATTTGTACAAAGAAAGATTCGAATAATCTTTTCTTTCTGTCTCCATTCTCTGTCGTCCCAAGAGACTGGGCCCTCTCTCCCTGCCTGCTGTCCCCATGGTCAACAGCATCATCAGGCCTTGCCCATCCTGTGGGTTTCTGGGGGTGGGGGTGGGGCTGGGGTGGCAGGAACAGGTGATAAAGGGACTGGGGAAGGGAGGGGCCAATCTGGAATCAAAGGAAATCAATTCTTACCCACACCTTTTTTCTTAAAGTTTTAGTTTGATGTCATTTTAAACTTTGAGAAAAGTTATAAGATGCCATGTACCCTTCACCCAGGATTCCTGACAGTTTTGCCAATTGCCCTAATAATCTCTCTTTTTTTCCCAGTTTATGGAGTTACAGCTGGCAAATAAACTTGTAATATACAGTGTACACTGTGATGATTTGAAATATGCATATATAATAATCCCCTTATAGAGTCGGAGAGCCACGCCAGACTGCACGAGGAACCCAGCTACCACGTGGCTCTGGTCTCTAGCCTGCGACCCCTCCCAGCCTATCTGTGACCTTTCAGCATGGGTGCTCTCGAAGATCGCAGACCGGCGACTGGGAGGAACGTCTTCCCACGTGGCTTGCCCAGCGCTTCCTCACCGTCAGGGCCAGGCCGTGCACTTTTGCACAGAAGTGCCTTTCGTTCCCATTCAACACAAAACCCCAGACCTGGGTGCTTCCATTTCTGCGTATCTGACTCCGCTCCTCAAGGCAACTTGACTTGCAACACGAGTTGCTTTTTGCCACCTTCTCAGGTTTTGGGGCTAAAGTACTCCATATATTTGAAAGTTAGTATTTGTCGTCCTGAAAGAATATTTGCTTCTTGCTCTGAGTTTTAACACCGGATGGTCATCACAGTGTGAACACTTACCAGGAGCTGATTGAAGCTCTTGGCAATTCTGCCTGGAAACTAATTCAGTTCCTGCTAACTTAGGGGGCTCTTTTCCTCACATTGGCAACTCCTCAAAGCCTCTGCCTTTGATGTAAAAGCAAAAATCCTACCAGTTGGCTTCATTCATTCAGTCAGTCGTCACCCGTTCGCCGAGTGTTTGCTGAAGGCCTGCCGTGTCCTGGGGCACAGGGTCTCCCCTGCGGAGAGGGCTCCCTGCCTGGTGCCCGCACTGGCCTCTGTTCACTGCTGGCTGGCTCTGATACCAGGGAGTGAAGGAGAAGTGAGGAAATGGGTCCTGGGGAGCCGCCCAGCCCCAGAGAGGGCAGGAGCCACCCCTAGAGGCACTTTCCCTTCCCCTGAGGTCGGCAGCTCCTCTCATCCACAGAGCGAGGAGTCACTCCCCAGGTGCCCCAGCAAAAAACGGGTGTTTTCCAGCTGTGTGGTCTCACTCTGGCTTCTGGATCTCCTGGAGGGGCAGGAGGGGGGGGATAAGGCGAGCTCGGGCCCGGCCTTCCCGTGGCGGGGCTGCTGAAACAGCTGTGGGCCCAGGCCTCTCCCCCGTTTCCGCTCCTTCCTCCCATGAAGGTCTCTGCCCAAGCAGCCCGGTGCAGCGGGAGCAGGGGAGGCCGAGCTGCTGGCCTGTGGTGGGACTGGGCCTCGCTGGCCAAGGGAGGGCCTGCGCAGGGCGTGGGTGCAGCTGCAAGCACCTTGGGTGGCGGCGATGTTATCTGCACCTAACGGTTTCCTCTGGGTCGGCACTTCCGCCTCCCGTCGGTGAAGCCAGAAACCTGAGCTGGGGCAGCCCCATCTGAGCAGATAGGACCCCACCGAGGCAGAAAGGGAAGGCCCCACCAGCCAGGGCCAGAGACGGGCAAGGCCAGGGTCCCCCACAAGCTCAGCCCCGCACATTCATGGAAAGAAACAAGATCACAAGAGCCAGCACGCAGAGCAGGGTCCCAGGAAAAGCCCTTCCTGCCGCCAACTCTGCCTGGCACCCTCACCCCTGGCATCCTCACCCCTGGCACCCTCACCTCTGGCATCCTCACCTCTGGCGCCCTCACCTCTGACATCCTCACCTCTGGCGCCCTCACCTCTGACATCCTCACCTCTGGCACCCTCACCTCTGACGCCCTCACCTCTGGCACCCTCACCTCTGGCGCCCTCACCTCTGGCGCCCTCACCTCTGGCGCCCTCACCTCTGGCATCCTCTCCTCTGGCACCCTCACCTCTGACGCCCTCACCTCTGGCGCCCTCACCTCTGACATCCTCTCCTCTGGCGCCCTCACCTCTGATGCCCCCACCTCTGGCACCCTCACCTCTGACGCCCTCACCTCTGGCACCCTCACCTCTGACGCCCTCACCTCTGGCATCCTCTCCTCTGGCGCCCTCACCTCTGACATCCTCACCTCTGGCGCCCTCACCTCTGGCATCCTCACCTCTGGCGCCCTCACCTCTGGCATCCTCACCTCTGGCGCCCTCACCTCTGACATCCTCACCTCTGGCACCCTCACCTCTGACTCCCTCACCTCTGGCACCCTCACCTCTGGCGCCCTCACCTCTGGCGCCCTCACCTCTGACATCCTCACCTCTGGCACCCTCACCTCTGGCGCCCTCACCTCTGACATCCTCACCTCTGGCGCCCTCACCTCTGGCATCCTCACCTCTGGCGCCCTCACCTCTCACACTGTGCCAGAGGGAAGGGTACTCAGCATTAATTCCCAGCATTGGGGACCCCAGAATGTCCAGCTCTAAATAAGAAAAATACCAGGTCCCTATTCATTTGAACTTGCACATGGGGCTAAGCATTATAAAGAGTTAGTCTTTTCAGAGTGCCTACTAAACTGTATAGGTGAGGAAAATGAGGGTCAGAGAGGTTAAGCAACTTGTCTATGGAAACACAGCTAGAAAGCAACAGAGCTGGAATTCAACTCTCGATCTGTTTCTGAAATCCAGGGTCTTGCCCCATGCTCAGCTGAGTTCACTGAACGTGGGAAACACTTTGGCATCAGGGCTGTCAGTGTTCTAGAAGTTCAGGCCTCGGAAGGCTGTGTGACGGGAGGGAGGCCGCGTGTCTGAGGCTGAAAGTTGGCATGAGGAGCAGAATCCAGGCAGTTCTTTGTAGCGGGAGCAGTGCTCAGCAGCACCAGGTCCACTGTCCAGCTCAGGGACGGCTCTCCCTTGCTCGGGTGGTGGCGGGTCAGGGCTTGGGAATGGGGGTGGGGTCACCGACGGCCTGGGGACCACACAGAGGCTTCCCTACCAGCCCCCTTCATGCACAGGCTCCGAGGCGAGGGCTGGTGGCCAGGCCATACCCTGGTCGCAGAGAAAGAAGCTGCTCCAGTCCCCAGGCTGGGAGCCACTCCCTCCCACACAGCTTCTTCTCCGCCTCCTCGCTCCCCTTCCCTCAATTAACAGGAACAGAGAAGGCCCTTCGGCCAGCAGCTCAAGGAACTGAAATCCCCGCATCCATCAAGGTTTACTGCTGGGGGAGCTTGGACACCTTGTTTCTCTCCTCCTCCTCCTCTGCCTCCTCCTGCTCCTCTGCCTCCTCCCTCTCCTCTGCCTCCTCCCTCTCCTCTGTATCCTCTCCCTCCTCCTCCTGCTGCTCCTCTGCCTCCTCCCTCTCCTCTGCCTCCTCTCCCTCCTCTTCCTCCTCTTCTTCCTCTCCCTCTCCCTCCTCCTCCTGCTCCTCTGCCTCCTATTCCTCCTCCTCTGTATCCTCTCCCTCCTCCTCCTCCTGCTGCTGCTCTCCCTCCTCTTCCTAGCATGCAGAAGAGGGATGGGCAGGTTGGCTGGGAAAATGTGAGGCTGGGAGGTGGAGAGGTAGAGCTGAAAAGGGAAGGGTCCTGTCCCTTCGCCCAGTGAGGGGCTCCGTGTGCATTTCTGTCTTCTGGGCCAGGGGTTCACACGGGCATCCACCTCACACAGCTCTCCAGCCGGGAAGAGCATGTGTGACATGAAAGCAATGAAAGGAGGGGAAAGAGATGGAAAGGAAGCAGGAAGGATGTCCATAAAAGAGGGGAGATCAAAGAGGGAAAGAACAACTCTAACTTTCAGGGCAGGAAAAGGAAGAAGGCACACTGAACGAGGGAGAGGCGGAGAGGGCTGAAACCGCGGTGGACACCAGGGTCCGGGACACACTTCTCCAGGAAGAGGCACCGGCGGCTGTCCCACCCCATGTTTGGGCACATGAATGGAGCGAGGTGGCTCCCTCGCTGGAGCCCTGCCCTGGGAGGGGACAGTATCTGTTTAGATTTGTGTCTAAATTTAAACCCCGATGGCCAGCCTCCCTCCCCTGCTCCTCCTCCTCCCCCGCCCTCCCTCTCCACCTCCTCCTCCCCCTGCTCCTCCCCGCCTTTCCCTCCCCCCCCCTCCTGTCCTCACCCAGAGGCGGGAGGCCGGCTGTCCCGCAGCAGCTAGCAGAGCGGACGGCAGCCCACTAGCCCTGCCGCTGAGCGGGACCTGGTGCGGCAGGAGCGGGGACAGCGGCACCGTGAGCGTGGGCAGGAGTGCAGTGGCACCTGGAGGACATGGAGGTAATGCCGGGCTGGGGTGGTGGGCGGGCGCGGGCTGGGCAGGGCGCGTGGGGTGGCCCCGCTGCCACCCGGGAGAAGGGCAATGCCTGCCTCCGACCAGCCCAGAGCACACCCAGCCCACCTGGCAGACCCTGGGGCAGGCGGGGCAGCGGGAGGATCGCCAAGGGACAGGGGGCTGCTAGGCTCCAGGCACGTTGGAGAGGAACTTACACGCTCAGGACAAAACTCCGTAAGCAGGCGATCTGCGAGCCCAGACCTCAGAAAGCAGAAGCCCCTGAGTCTGGAGCCCGTTTTGAAAGAGAAACAGGACTGGCAGCGAGGCCTCCTCCCCACCCGCTGCCTCCCACGGAAGGTGGCCTGAGCTTGCTTCTCCAGTCCCACAGTCACAGCTCTCAGAACTTTCTGCAAAGCTCCCTGGCGGGCAAATAGCACTGCGGATGATAAAACCTGAGACTCCGCTGCACGCCCCGGGTGTGGGGGGTTGCTGGCCACCGCTGTGGGGCGCACGGGGCGACGCCCGCCCTTCTCAGCCTGGGATTTTCCTGGTCCTGTTCCAACCTCAGGGGGTCCGGGAACCACCCTACAGTGGAGGAGTAGCTGGCTGTATGCCCAGGAGGAGCGGGGTGTGTTCCCCTGCCTCCCTTCTCCAGGTCTCCAGGCTTCCTGGATTTCTCCCTTGAAGCCGAGACCTGACATTTCGCCCAAGTCCATCTCAGCAGGACCTGGGACTTCTGAAAGGAGCTTCTAAGGTGAAGCTCTGCGTGAGGAGACCGGCTCCCCCACGGCGTGGCCATCAGGTCTGCTGTCTCCTCCCCACTCCAGCTCTACCCCGGAGCCCTGCTTGGCTCGCGAAGCCAGCCCCTCGCGTGGCCTGTGGCTCTGTGGGTTCCCTGCAGGGGCCACGGTGTGTCCTGGGCGGGCACCCTGCCTTCTTGTCTTCAAGGGCTGGGGACCGCCTGCCAGGAGGCTTTCTGGAGTGTGGGGGACCATGGGACCCGCAGGAGTCTGAGCTGGACCCTCTGTAGACACTTTGGTAAACAGGGAAACTGAGGCAGGTTAGGGCGGGGGTGGGGTGGGGGTAATGCACCGGCATCAGCAGGCGGTGTTCACAAGTCTGCTCCAAGGTCTCCAGCTGCCTCCAGCCTCAGGGCAGGAGGGGAGATGCCCGGGGAGGCCCCGCCTGGGGGGTGAGGCTGCTCTGGAAGCGGGTCACTCCTGGGAGCGCGGGCATCTCGGCCCCAGGCCGCAGGTTCTGTCTGCCGCGCGCCTGCCCCGCCTCCTGCAGATGGGGTGCCGGGGAAGAGCGAGCAAGTGGAGCCGGGCTGCTGCTTGAGGACCAAATGCCAGTTTGAATCTTGTTCTAGGACAGTGATGGCGAACCTATGACACGCGTCTCAGAGGTGACACGCAGACTCATTTTTTTGGGTTGATTTTTCTTTGTTAAATGGCATTTAGCCGAAACCGGTTTGGCTCAGTGGATAGAGCGTCGGCCTGCGAACTGAAAGGTCCTAGGTTCGATTCCGGTCAAGGGCATGTACCTGGGTTGCGGGCACATCCCCAGTAGGAGATGTGCAGGAGGCGGCTGATCGATGTTTCTCTCTCATCGATGTTTCTAACTCTCTATCTCTCTCCCTTCCTCTCTGTAAAAAATCAATAAAATATATATTTTAAAATGGCATTTAAATATATAAAATAAATATCAAAAATAGAAGTCTTTGTTTTACTATGGTTGCAAATATCAAAACATTTCTATATGTGGCACGGCACCAGAGTTAAGTTAGGGTTTTTCAAAATGCTGCCACGCCGAGCTCAAAAGGTTCGCCGTCACTGTTCTAGGAGGACAGGGGGACCCCTGCACCGGGCACTTCCTTCTCCCTCGGTTGAGGAAGGAAGTGTGTGTGGCACAAACCCTGAAACTGTCCCCCGAGCTGCTTCCGGCGGGGGGGGGTGGGGGGTGGGGGCGGGGGGGAGCCTTAAAAACCAGGCCCTCTGTCTGCACAGCGGGGTGTGTAGTAACTGATGGGCTCTACCAGGAGGGCAGCGGGAGCAGCGGGCAGCCTGTGCCTGTCGGGCGCCCTGAGCCCCCTCAGGCACAGACCTGCGGGGTGGCAGGGACTGCTTGTGACGTTTCTTTGTGGAAACACCTGAGTGTGGAACAGCCGAGCCGCGCCGGGAGGGAAGTAAGAGGAAACCAGGGGCTGGGAAGCAGGACTCTTGGCGGGAAGTCACTCTGTGTGGGACGTGATATGGGGAGTGGGGCTTGGGGATTCCTGGACGACCTCAGAGTGTACCCCTTTTGTGAGTGGCGAAACCCACTTTGGAGACACGAAGGGACCTCGATATTTGGGGAGAAACTGAGTCATATTGTTTCTGACTAATAGGAGCCCAAATCAGGCCAACAGGCTCCTGAGTTCCTTCTTGGGAACCCACGTACCCGCCGGAACCTGGGACATCTTTTCTTTTCTTAAGTCACTGTGACCACGATCGACAATATTACTCTTTATTCAGCCCCACGAAGCCTCTGGAGGAAACAGTGCAGGGGCTGCGCGAAGGCCCACCGTCCAGCGGGGGACGAGGCTCACTGTATCACGGCACAGGGACCATTTCCCATTGTGTAAGCGCCACGTGAAGGGCTGGCGTGGACCCTACTCGGTGTCGCCGAATCTCCAGAAGGGAGCCTGAGAGAAAGGAGGGTGGTGAGGAAGGCACGGCGGGTGCGGGGAGAACACGCCGCCTTCCTCTGGGGAGCAGGCGGGCTGGAGAGATAGGTGGGAGCAGTGAGAAATGAAAGCATGAGACAAAACCGTGGGCCTCTGCGTAGGGTGGACGCTGGCCAAGCGGCAGCTGGACTCTCCCCGTTTGGAGGAAGGGGTTACTTTTTCTTCATGCGAAGTCTCCTTGCCTCACGGTGCCCCAAAGGGGTGCCTTTTTCTGATTCAGACAGGCCAGCTCTAGTCTGCAAAGGCCAGATGGCGGATGACCTGGACTCAGCTTGTGGGCAGTGGGCAACGCTGAGAGAAAGATGGGACCACGCGTGGCCAGAATGATGTGGCAGGAATGCCAGTCATAGACGGGGCCAGGGAGCAGGCAAGGTCTGACCTCGAGAGTAAGAGGGGAAGGTGGGAAGGAAAGCCTAAAGTTGCAGGAGGGAGGAGAAGTGACCTGTGGGTGGAGCTCACACGGGACCCTCACTGGTCTGAGGTCTCCAGAGATCAGCGCGTGCCCTCACCATAGCCACGCCGTCTCACTAGGCAAGGTTGGTTGACAAATGAATTAACAAACAGGAGCTCCTTCCCCTCCATCTGCAGCAAGAATGTCCCAGACGCCTCCCCAGACGGCCTCCGGCTCCACGCCCCTCGGAGCCCCTGTTCAAACCAAGTTAGAGCCCGGCAGCGCCGTCCGCCCGGGCCTCTCCCTGAAGGTTCCTGGAGTTCAGGAGCCTTGGCGCCTGTCCCCGTGGCCTGATGGGCACGCGATACTTGCTTGTTGAATGAGAAACAAATGACTGAAGGTGGGAGAAGGATCGGGTGCTCTTCTTTAAAGCCAGGTTCAGACCTGTTGGTGTTGACTGTTCTTGGGAGGCATGTCCATGGGGAATTCAGACCCCTGAGGACGCAGACGTGACTCCTGTCCAGGAGAGGTGAACGGTGAAGCTACGGCAGGAATGGAAGAGGGAAGCGTGTAGCAGAGAGAGAGGAGACTCAGGACATGGAGGTTAAAGGACGCTCTGCGTCACTTACGCAGGGGCTGTAGTCAGTGCAAAGAGCCGGAGCACTTGCGAAAAGTCTGATTCTTGTGGACTAAGTCCATCGTTTGCTTAACGAAATGGTAGACACGTGAAATCGGCTACTGTTTAGGTCAGCGGTTCTCAACCTGTGGGTTGCGACCCCTTTGGCGGTCGAACGACCCTTTCACAGGGGTCGCCTAAGACCATCCTGCATATCAGATATTTACACTACGATTCATAACAGTAGCAACATTACAGTGATGAAGTAGCAACGAAAATAATTTCATGGTTGGGTCGCAACGTGAGGAACTGTATTTAAGGGGCCAGAAGGTTGAGAACCACTGGTTTAGGTGAACAAGTGGAGGGTTCAGGAGGGTGAAAATTAGACTTCGTTGCCATCGGTTAAACGATGTCTACTTTAGATGGAGACCATTGGTGAACCCTTTTCTCTGAGGCAACTCCAAGTCCCTCCCAGCTGTCATCTGCCCTTCACCCATTTATTCAGCATTTATTGAGCCCTGGTTACATACTAGAGCTCGTGTTTTAAATGGCACCAAAAATTATTGGGCTATCATATCTGTATCCTCACAGAATCGGTATCATTGACGAGAGAGAGAAAGAGAGAGAGAGAGAGAACATGCATTAATATATATAATGTGTTCATTTTACCAACAGCCTTTGTTTTGGGATCCCCCCTCTTGCTGAGCCCTGGGTCATAACAAGGGACTGCATGGAACCTGGGAGCTGGAGTCTGTGGGCATGGCCGTATACCCCACTTTCCTGTCTGGCTCCCAGGCACTCTGTGGGACCCTCGGCAACAGTGGCTTCCACTAGTAGAGCCTCCCATTGGCTGCCCGCAGTGACGGGGGAGTTTGCGTAGTGGGACTGAAGGGCCCAGGGCCTGTCACAGAGGCCGAGCGAATTCATTTTTTTAAAAAATTTTGTTTTATTGCTTAAAGTATTACAAAGAGTATTACATATGTCTCCTTTTTTTCCCCCCTTGACATTCCCCCCGCCTCCCCTACCCCCCAGTGTCTTGTGTCCATTGGTTATGCTTATATGCATGCATACAAGTCCTTCGGTTGATCTCTTACCCACCCCCCCAACCCTCCCCGGCTTTCCCGCTGTAGTTTGACAGTCTGTTCGATGCTGCTCTGCCACTGTATCTATTTTTGTTCATCAGTTTATAATGGTCTTTATTATCCATAAATGAGTGAGATCATGTGGTATATTTCTTTCATTGACTGGCTTATTTCACTTAGCATAATGCTCT